GATTAAATGAGTCTCCTTGGTGGTGTAGTAGTTAAGATCTTGGCTGCTAACCAAAAGGTCAGCAGTTCAAATCCACCAGCCACTCCTTGGAAACCCTATGGGGCAGTTCTACTCTATCGTATAGGGTCGCTATGAGTTGGAATCGACTCGACGGCACCTAACAACAACACTTCAGATGGGTCCTCAGTACTGCAGCAATGCCTATATGTGTTCCTGGTCTGCTCTGAATCCCTAAATGGTCAATTTCTATTGTTCAACATCATTTTTGAGATTTCTATTTTACTCTCCGCTTTATTTCTGCAGATAACCTATTACAGAAAATAGTGGATATTGGCTATGAACGCCCTCATCTTCCTGTCACCAAGTAAAAACTTCTTCATCTCAGTTCTCATCTTAACCTCATCTCTGGGTCCGAGAGGAAGAACTGGTACGCCTGCTACCTATACTCTAGTCCCACATTCTATTGCATCTTCAGGGTCTAACTTCATCATCCCCTTTCTTTTGCTATTTCCAGTCTCCCACTCTTAATGGTCTTCCTTCTCTGCACAACCTGACCATTTTTCTTCATCTAAAAAACCAAAAGTAAACACCCTTTACCACTCTCCCAGCTACTACACAACACATCTCATTCCTTTCCAATAATGTATTTAGAAACAGTCACTTCCCATTCCATCTTTAAACCTAAATAATCTGCTTCACCTATGTGGATCGTAACAAATTATGGATAACATTGCAAAGAATGGGAATTCCAGAACGCATGATTGTGCTCATGTGGAACCTGTACATACACCAAGAGGTAGTCATTTGAACAGAATAAGGGGATACTGCAGTTTAAAATCAGGAAAGATGTGCATCAGGGTTGTATCCTTTCACCATGCTTATTCAATCTGTACGCTGAGTAAATAATCTGAGAAACTGGACTATATGAAGAATGCAGCATCAGGATTGGAGGAAAACTCATGACCTTCGATATGCAGATGACACAACCTTGCTTGCTGAAACTGAAGAGGACTTGAAGCACTTACTGATGAAGATCAAAGACCACAGCCTTAGTATGGATTACACCTCAACATAAAGAAAACAAAAATTCTCACAACTGGTCCAGTAAGCAATATCATGATAAATAGAGAAAAGACTGAAGTTGTCAAGGATTTTATTTTACTTGGATCCACAATCAATGCCCACGTAAGCAGCAGTCAAGAAATTAAACGATGTATTGCGTCGGGCAAATGTGCTGCAAAAGACCTCTTTAAAGTGTTAAAAAGCAAAGATGTCACTTTGAGGACTAAGGTACACCTGACCAAAGCCAAGGTGTTTTCAATCGCCTCATATGCATGTGAAAGCTGGACAATGAATAAGGAAGACTGGAGAAGAAATGACACCTCTGAACTGTGGTGCTGGTGAAGAATATTGAATATACCATGGACTGCCAAAAGAATGAACAAATCTGTCTTCGAAGAAGTACAGCCAGAATGCTCGTTAGACGTGAGAATGGCGAGCCCTCGTCTCAGGTACTTTGGACATGTTTTACCAGGAAGGACCAGACCCTGGAGAAGGACATCATGCTTAGTAAAGTAGAGGGTCAGCGAAAAAGAGGAAGACTCTCAATGAGATGGACTGACAGACAGTGGCTGCAACAACTGGCTCGAACACAGTGATTGTGAGGATGGGGCAGGACCAGGTAGTATTTCGTTCTGTTGTACACAGGGTCGCTATGAGTCAGAAACAACTCATCAGCACGTAACAACAAGCTGCTTTTGCTCCATTCTCCATGGAAACTGTTCTGACTAGATATAAAGATCACTGATCTCTCCTCTTACTTGATCTCTCTGAAGCATTTTAATGCTTTCATGAAACTCTTTTAAGGAATTGGCTTCTAGGACTCTTTTCTAGTCCTTCTCAGTCTCCTCTAATGGCCTCTCGGTTTTTACTCTCCTATTCCTCCTTATCAAAGACCTGTTCTTGGTCCTCTTCTCTGCGTACTTTTTCCAGAGTGCACTCCACATCTACAAGCTTTCATTAAATTGCAGCCACTAATGACTCCCGCATCTTCCTCTTTGGTTTAGATTCACGTATCAGAGTGACCCTGTTCACTTTACCAGCTTGTCCTCACAGTCTAAACTCATTACATAAAGAAATGAATCCTCTTTTCCCCCCACTGCTGTTCCTCCTGTATTTCCTGTTTGGTTAATACAAGTACTATCTATACCAAGCCACTCAATTCAGACATCTGGATATAGTGGACTCTGCCCTTTTCCTCACATTCCTCATCATGTCAGTCACCAAGTCTTACAATTTGGCTTGAACATTTACTTATATAACCCTTCCTCATGGCCACCTCATTGCCATCAAGTTGATTCTGACTCATAGCTGGACCCCACAGGACAGAGTAGAACTGCCCCACAGGGTTTCCAAGCTGTAATCTTTATGGACACAGACTGCAACGTCTTTCTCCCACAGAGAGGCCAGGGGGTTCAAACTGCCAAGCTTTCAGTTAGTAGCTGGGTGGTTAACCACTGCGCCACCAGGGCAGTCAGAAACTCAGGGCTCCAGTAACATGTTTTACTTAACAAGTCTCTATAGGTGATTCTGATGCTAAAGTTTGAAAACCATTGTTTTAGTCCAACCCCCACTATTCCTTTCTCTACACCGTTACTACAGCCATCTTTCAGAAAACAAATCTGGTTTTGCTTTTATTTGCTTAGAAGTCTCTTGTGTTTTGACTAAAAGGTGAAATAAAAAAAAAAATTCTTAGTACAACATAAAAAGCCCACCAGGATCTAGCCCCTGCCTTCCAGTTTTCAAAACGTAAAGCACAGTAAATCATTTTAGTAAGGATGCACTCCCATGTAGTGAATAAGGGGATGGGCTTAAGAATCAGACTGCCTGGGGTTTAAACCTCTACCCTACCCTACCACTTTACAACTGGCTGGATGACCTTGAATGACTCACTTAACCTTTGTTAACTGTTAGGTGCCTTTGGTTCTGACTCGTAGAGACCCTATGTACAAAAGAACAAAACACTGCCCGGTCCTGCATCATCCTCACAATCATTGCTATGCTTGAGTCCATTGGTGCAGCCAACGCGTCAATCCATCTTGTTGAGGGTCTTCCTCTCTTTCACTGACCCTCTACTTTACTAAGCATGATGTCCTTCTCCAGGGACTTGTCCCTCCTGATAACATGCCCAAAGTACATGAGACGAAGTCTTGCCATCCTTGCTTCTAAGGAGCATTCTGGCTGTACTTCTTCCACGATAGATTTGTTGGTTCTTCTGGCAGTCCGTGGTATATTCAATATTCTTCACCAACACCGTAATTCATATGCATCAATTCTTCCTCTGTCTTCTTTATTTACTTACCCTGGCCATGCCTCAATCCCATCATCTATAAAGTAAGAATGACTTTCATATGACAAGGTGGTTGTACAATTACCACAATACCTGACACTTAGTCTGGGCTCATGGATTGTTTTTTATTATTATTATTTCAAAAGAAAAAAAAATTACTAGAGTCCTCACCTATTCCTAAGAGGAGAGGATTAGAAAGATGGCCCAGACTCAGGGAAGTGGTCCCCATAAAGGATGCCTATTTCTTCGGGCAGTTTTAGTACAGATCTGAAAAAAAAAAAAAAACCTGGATTCTTAAGAAAGAGGTTCTGAGGTCTTTGGCGCTCACATTTTGATTAGGTATGGTAGATCTAAGGAGCCCTGGTGGTGCAGTGGGTAAAGCACTTGGCTGCTAACCAAAAGTTTCACAGTTTAAATCCACCAGCTTCTCTGTGGGAGAAAGACGTGGCAGCCTGCTTCCTTAAAGATTTACAGCCTTGGAAACCTATGGGGCAGTTCTACTCTGGTTTGGTAGGGTAGGTCTATAATCAGATCCCAGGATGTTACAGGATAGATACATCAAATTTCTAAACCGAGCATCAGGAAAGCTAATCATGAAGGAAATAGAAGGGCTCAAGGAAACAGCAAAGCAGCAAACAGATAAGAATAAATTTCATGCTTGTTTCTGATATAACGATTAAATGTGACAGTCTGAGTATGAGTGAAACTTGACCTGTATTTTCAGAAATGTTGTTGGTAGCTTAAGAGCAAAGGCTTTGAGAAGCTGATGGCACCAGGAGGCCTCCACTGTCCTCAGGGACATGCCGCACCCTCTCCTGTGAATAGATGTTCTCACCAATCCATGAGGCCCCCAAAAAGAGCGCTGCAAGGTCCCAGGTCCCCTAGTCATTGAGACCTAAATGAATATGCATGACTTGAGCCTTAATGCATAGTTACGATCTAGCCGATTAATGAATATGCATTATGTTAGGCTCCCTTCCCTTCCCTAGTTCTCCAGGTGTGGGGCCTGTGCAGGCCCTTCTTGCCTGGCTGTTTTGGAAAACAAAGGCATTCTGATTGCTCAGGTTATTTTCAGAAACCAGAGTCAAAGGGCCAAACCAAGTTCTTTGTCCCATAAATATATACAGAACATATGTTTTTATGTGCCATTAAGTTGATTCCGACTCATAGTGATCTTATATGACAGAGTAGAACTGCACCACAGGGTTTCCTAAGCTGTAATCTTTACAGGAGGAGATTGCCAGGTATTCTCCTGAGGAGCCACTGGTGGGTTCGAATCACTGACCTTTCAGTTAGGAGACGAGTGCTTAACCACTGTGCCATCAGGGTTCCTTATAGAGTGTGTATACACATACAGAGAGAGAGAAAGCAAAAGGGGGGGAGAGAGAGAGAGACAGATGAAGTGTGTGTGTATATAGATAGATCGCTTAGTGCCAGTATTAACATCTAGTATTTTGACTAATGTTTGTTTATAACTTATAAGACTGGAAACTACTGGAAAAGTAGATCCAAATACAATCATGTATACAGTGTTTACATCATTTAAAACAAAAACCAGGTGCTGTTGATTCTGACTCATGGCGACTCCATGTGTGCAGAGTAGAACTGCACTCTATAGGGTTTTCAAGGCTGTGATCTTTCAGAAGCAGATCACAAGGCCTTTCTTCTGAGGCACCTCTGGGTGGGTTCAAAGCAATAACCTTTCAGTTAGTAGTCGAACCACTTAACGTTTTGTGACACCCAGGGACTCCTTTACATCATTTAAGGTCTATCAATTTTCACTTCAAATATGTGTGAGATTCATGTTATTTAAATGTTTACTGAGTGTCTGTTAGGTGCTAGAAGGATATTAAGCTGTAGATGGGAAGCTACCAAGATGAATAAGGCATAGTTGCTGTCCTCAAGAAGAATAGTCTTGAGAAAAGAAAGACATAATCCTAATATAACACGATTAAAGACAGTATAAGAGAAAAAAAAAAAAAAAAAAGCCACGCAGTTTAAGACTTTTACTAAGTTGACTCATTTTCAAAACTGACCCCCTCATTTTCCTTTACCTTCCTCTGAACTAGTCTGAAATAATTTTTATTTACTCCATTTTCTTCAGCTATAGCAGGGAGTCTGTATCTATAAAAACTAATAATTACCACCCACTACAACAAAGGTAGGAGTCATCTGTTCTGTTTCACTGCTATATTGCCAGTGCATAACAGAAAGTGGTACAGCTCCCTAATGTCCGATACAGGGTGGCTCATTCTTATCCTTCAGCTCTTAGTTGTGATGTCATCTATTCAGAAAGCCTTTCTCTAGGCACTCAATCTAAATTTTCTCTGCCCCTGTCACCCATTATTCTCTAGCATGTCTATTTCCTTCAAAGACCCAACTACCTTTGTAGTGAATGCTGTGATGTGCTACCCCGATTCACCTTAAAAACGAAGGACTCATTTCCCCAGCTGCTAGGAGTATTGAGACAGCCCTCAGCTGTCAGCTCCCTCGAGGACTGCCTTGAAGACAGGTGAAATTATACACTCTTTCTGGGGCAATGGGTATAAAGGTTTGTCTCTCACTCCAAGCTGGGACAACTCTGAAGGGCCATCCCAGCTCCAGGGGTTGGCAGATGACTTCTTGAGTCTGCACCGCAGCTCAGCTTTTCTGTGTGACCAATCCTGCTTCCTTCTTTCCTCTCCCTTCCACAGGTGATCCAAAAAAGTCCTCCCTAATAAATGTCCTAAGAAGCCTTGGTGGTGCAGGGGTTAAAGCTCTCTGCTGTTAACCTAAAGGTAATTGGTTCGAACCCACCAGCTGTCCCACGGGAGAAAGATGTGGTGGTCTGCTTCCAAAAAGATTTATAGCCTTAGAAACTCTATGGGGCAGTGCTATTCAGTCCTATAGGGTCACTATGAGTCGGAATTGACTCGGTAGCAATGGGTAATAAATGTCCTGCACACAAATCTCTTCAGTCTGCTTCCCAGAAAGCCAAACCTGGGACAATCTGGAAAACATTTTATTCATTTATCAGTTTACTCATTTATTGTTTCTTCTCCCATCACTAGAATATAAGCTCCATGAGGTCAGGGACCATACCTGTCTTGTTCACTGCTGTATCTGCTAACTTAGCACAGATAATTAGATAGATAAACTAACGAAGTTAATGAATGGATGGATGAAACTGCGGGTATTGACAGCAGATGTGAAATAAAAGATCGCCCCCTACAGCAACAGAAGGTGGAATGGCTCCATCTGGGAGGAGGATGAACACGACCCCAAGAGGTCTCCTCAATCTCAAAAAAATTATCATCCCCTAAAGTCGAAAGCCCTGTGAGTCTCGTTTCTGCTTTCACAAAGTTGGCATTATCATGTTGTACAACCTTCTGGCGGCCAGCTCCATGTCAGGGGGTGGCCCCCGCCGCCTAGCCTGCCTCGGGTATACCGTGCACCCTCCCCGAAACAAGTATACAGCGTGCCCTCCCAGTAAAGGAGGGAGTGACTGGAGCGCTGACGAGTCACAGGATTCAGCTAGAAGGTGGTAGCGCAAGTGCAATCAGTGCTTTGATTGGGACGCCTTTCCATCTACTTCACCGGGTTTCGGTGCGGATACAACACCTCCTCGCCATCCACATCCGTTTCATCAACTAGAATTTACTACACAGCGCCATTTTAAAGGTAGGTCTTTCGCCTCCTAACGAGCCAGCCTCCTCGTCCTCGACTCCAATTATCCTTCAGTGAGGACACCGGTGACCTTACTGAAGGGGGGGCGGGGGAGGCACCTACAAGGCACCCCTCCCCTCTCTTCGGTCGGGGAGAAAGCTGGCTTTTCCACCTGAGGTTTCAGAGCTCTCACCTGCCCACCAACTGCCTCGCCTCTCAAGGCCACCACCGCCAGCAGGTCGCAGCCGAGCCCCACGCCGCGGTCACCACCGATCCTGGCAAATCGCGCCCGGCGTTAGAAGGCGGAGCATCCGCAGCTTTGCAGTTGATGCCGAACCCGCTCCGATTCCGCGCCTCCGGGCTTTCGGCGAAGCTCTTAGAAAACGAAAGGGGTGCGTTAGGGGCTGGGCAGTGACCCTAATTAAGAGGAGGATGTGCTGGGGCAGAGTTAGCTCAGGTTCAATCTCAGCAAATTGTTGAAACTGTAAATTTAAACTAGTATAGCAAATCGGCTTGTCAGGACACAACGCCTACCTTATGGTGCGCTCTCAAGAGATATTTGTTGACTGAATGAAAAAGTAGCCGGCCGTTGCTAGCCGCCCTTTCCGTCCTCCCAGACTCGACCAATCACAAAGTCTCTGACTTGTCGCTCAGCGCCAATACCCCGCCTTCCTTTGCGGCTGCCTCCAAACCCAGGAGAAAAAAAATTAACCGTTTTAACTTCCCTGGAATCGAGTTGGAGATCGGACATGCGCGGTGAGAAGTGGTCACATTCAAGCTTCTGCCTTCAGTCGGTCCTGTGGGGGCTTACGGAGAGGTCGGAAGTCCTCTAACTCAGTGCCCTTCACAAATTAGACAATTTCCGCGTATATGTATATCCTGCTTTATGGTTCGTGGAAACACGTTTATTCTCTACCATTCAAAAACATACTGTAGGGAGTTATGTTTCCACGGCAACTTTTAAAAAAAATTTTTTAAGTTATCTGGCACTTTGAAAGCCAACTTTACTTCCCAGCCTGTCTTTCCTAAGATCCACTGCATTGAGAATTATTGTCCATCCTTATGGTGGTAGTTTTCCGGTGTCATAAAGACTATATACCACAGAAATATTGCGTTTTATTTATTTATTGTTTTTCTCTTTATCATGTCAGCTGTTCAGTACTGTGGGTAACTGAGATTCGCCACCTGTCAATCACAGTCATTGCGTTCCCAAGCCCTTAAAAGTCAACCTTTGCCGCCATTTTTGTTTTGGGCCCACCTTGAAAGCCGTCAAGTCAGAAACGGAGGCCATGTTTCTTTTGGGCAAATTTCTAGCGCTATCAAAGTCCCTCATGTATGTTTCGTCGCCATTTTAAATCTTGGTTGTGGCTTCAAGCGAAGGTGAAGCTGCCGAGATCATTTTGTGTTTGGGCAGCGGCAACGTTCCCAAACGCGCGGGGGGACACTGGGATGGGGAAATAAGCTTGAAGCACAAGTACGTAAAGCTCCTGAAGGTTGGCTTGCGAGCCTATCCTGCAGGTATTACTACATCAGTGGCCGTGGACAGTAACAAAAATAAAAGCCCGAACCCAAACCCCGCCACCATCATAGGTAAGAACAGTGGGGCTTCAGACAACCTAAGGAGTTCCTTCACTCGAACTGTTTACCCATTTCCTCTCTGGCACTCTGAGGTTTTTTTTTTTTGCTTTGATTTTTGAGCCTCTTCCAAATTCTTCTCTCTGCTTCCATCTCTCTTCACTGTTTTCAAAGAGCTAAAACATTGTTAAATCTAAGGATCTGGGAAGCTTGAGTTTTAAAGTGGAAGTACTAGTCTGGAAAATTTTGTTTTTTTTTGAAGGACAAAGTGAAACATAATGAATGGGCCAGGTATTTGTATCAAGCTGTGTCTGCCCACATCTATATGATAAATGCAGTCGCCCTCCTAGACGTTTTTGGGGTGTGACCTAAATACAGTATGTGTGCGTATATACTCCCCATTCATTCATTTATTCACCACTTTTATTGAATACCTAATGCATGTGTGGAACCCTGGTGGCTCAGTGCTTAAGAGCTTTGCTGCTCACCAAAAGATCTGCAGTTGGAATCCACCAGCCACTCCTTGGAAACCTTATGAGGCAGTTCTGCTTGGTCCTATAGGGTCGTTATGAATCTGGCAACAAGGTTTAATGCATGCTAGAAGTCCTTGGGTGGTGCAGTTAAGGTGATTGCCTGCTAGTGGAAGTGCTGGAGGTTTGAGTTCACCAGAGGCACCTTGTAAGAAAGGCCTGGCCATCTGCTCTTGAAAAAATTGGCCATTGAAAACCCTATGAAGCGCCCCCCCCCAAAAAAAAAAACCAAACCCATTGCCATGGAGTCGATTCTGACTCATAGCCACCCCATAGGGTTTCCAAGGCTGTAAATCTCTATGGAGGCCGATTGCCACATCTTTCTCCCGTGGAGCTGCTGGTGATTTCCAACCACCAGCCTTTCAGTTAGCAGTCATGGCTTTAACCACCGCACCACCAGGGCTTATTCTATGAAGCACAGTTCTACATAATTAACATTTACGTAGCTATGTGCCGGGCATAGTTCTACTCTGACACACATGGCAGCACCGTGGGTCAGAATTGACTCAATGGCAACTGGTTTAATGTATGCCAAGACCTAGGGATTGAGCAGTAAACTTAAAAAATAACAACAAAAACACCTTTCATCTTAACTATCACCTCGGCAGCTAGGTTGGGGCAAGTAACAGTATTGTATGGTTCTTAGCACTGTTAAACTGTACAAACAAGTACTCCGCTTTCTTCTTTCCCTATCCTCCCACCTTCCCTTTTTCCTCTGCTGTAGGAATAAAGTGTATTGACACTTCTTTCTCGGGTCCTAGACAGAGTTGTAAGGCGCCCTCGTGACGCAATGGTTAAGTGCTCAGCTGCTAACAAAAGGTTGGCGGTTCGGACCCACCCAAGCGGTTCTGTGTAAGAAACACGTAGCAGTTCGCTTATGTAAAGATTACAACCAAGAAAACCCTATGGGTCAGTTCTGCCCTGTCACATGGGGTCGCTATGAGTCAGAATCGACTTTATGTCACCCAACAACAACAGATATAGTTGTAGGCCAGTTGGCCAATTTTACAAGTTGCTCAGGGCCTTGTTTCTCAAAGTCGATCCACAGACCAGAAGCATTAGCATCACCTGGGAGCTTGTTAGAAATGTCGTCTCAGCCCCCATCCCAGACCTGTGGAGTCAGCATCTCCTTCGAATGACTCCTTTACACCTTACAGTTCGGGGAGCACTGACTTAGGGCATGGACTAAGAGAAAGCCCGCCTCTTTCCAACCTGTGCTTCTTAACAAGATTCACAATGTATAGTCAGTTTATTATGTATATTAAGTACAGTGGACATTTTTAGCCTACCATCCTGATGTCAAGATACCCATTTAACATTCTAAAAAACTTGAGAATTTGCCAGTCCAGCATATTTTTATGTAATTTCTGTTACAACATTGAAAGTAGAGTTGTTTTTTTTTAAAGTTTATATTGTAAAAAAAAAAAAAAAAAAGTACTGTCTCCTGCCTTCTTTCGACTATCCTCTGTGCATGTTCTTATAATTTATAAAAACGTGGACTCAAGCCCGCATTTGGACCACAGTTCAATATTAACTTAGATAACCTTGGTCCATGGTTTAGCAAAGCTTTTTGTGGCACCTTGCTTTCTTGAGAAATCTTAACTCTACATCGGGAGTTCTCAACCTTGGCTGCAAGGGAAAGTTGCCTGGGGATCTTGAAAAGACTGTCAATCAGTATCAGCAGAGGTTGAGACACTGGGTAGAATTAAGGAGCCAGGAAGATATTTGAAAGAACAGCAAACCACTTTTACATTTTTCACTTTTCATTATTTTCATTATGTAGATTTTTCTCCCCCTTATGGTTTTATCTAAAATAACTAGGAATTTGAAGGCAACAAAGAGAATCGACCTGGGAACGTGGGGAACCAGTTCAACTCTTGTTTATTTATTTTTATTTTGTCTCATATGAGTGTTAGGAATTCTGTCACTAAAATACTTTATGTTCTGTGAATGTGAGGAAGTATTTTATAAGTATAATATTCATCGCTTCTCATTTTCACATACTGTATCTTAGATGTGGCGGGAGAGGATGGTAGGTAAGAGCCAGGCTCCCTGGGTTCAAGGCCTCTTGTCTCCATTTACCAGCTGTGTGACCCTGAGCAAATTACTTAACCCCTCTGTGCTTCAGTTTCTTCATTTGTAAAATAGGATTGATGTGACGTTGGATAAGTTAATCATGCCAGAAAAGTGCTTAGAATTGTGCCTGGCACATAGTCACAGTACATAAATGTTAATTAACTGTCACTATTTTTATTTAAATTTTTGGATTATTAAGGTTTGTTCATGCATGCAAATCACCATCAGGAAAGGTATCGCGGTTCTGTAGCTTTTCAGTACATACGCTCGTTTGGAAAAGAGGGTGGTCTAAACACAATATACCAGGTCAGGAAGGTTTTTTTTTTTTTTTTTTAGAATGGTCTTTTTTTTTCCCCTCTGAACAGCTTTATTGAGGTACAATTGTCATATAGTAAACTGCACATATTTAAAGTATACGATTTGACATGTTTTAACATGTATACACCAGGGAAACCATCACTAGAAACAAGATAATGAATGTATCCATCATCCCACAAAGTTTCCTCTTGCCCCTTTGTAATCTCTTTCTTGGGCTGCTCTCTTCCAGGCAACCACTGATCTGCTTTCTGTCACTATAATAGTTTGCATTTCCTAGATTTTTATCTAAATGGAATATTACAGTATATGCTTTTTTTTTGAGGGGGTGGTATGTCTGGCTTCTTGGCGCAGTGGTAAGTGTTCTGCTGCTAACCAAATGTCGACAGTTTGACTCCACCAGCCCCTCCTTGGAAACCCTTTGGGGCAGTTCTGCTCTGTCCCGTAGGGTTGCTCTGAGTCGGAATCGACTTGGCGGCAGTGAGTTTGGTTTTTGGTTTTTCTTTCACTCATCTTAATTATTTTGAGAGCTACCCATGTTGTTAGGAGCCCTGGTGGTGCAACGGTTAAGTGCTCGGCTGCTAATCAAGAGGTTGGCTGGCGGTTTGAACCCACCCAGCCTAGAAAACCCTATGGGACAGTTCTACTCTGTCACATGGGGGTCCCTGTGAGTCAAAATTGACTTAAGGGCACTTAACAACAAATCCTTGTTACTGCCAAGTATCAATAGTTCCTTCCTCTTTAATTCCTGATTAGTATTCCATTGTATGGATATACCATAGTTTGCACATTTCACCAGCTTCTGGGCATTAGCCTTGTTTTTGTTTTAACAGTGCTCATTTTCACATTGTTTCGTTCTCCCCCAGCTTATTTGAACGGGGGTGGGGCGGTGGGGGGAGAAAAGTCTAATTATTTGGTGCCCAAAGCTCCTACAGACAGTGAGACCAGGTGACAGTGGTAACACTTGTTTGTGTCAAGGCTTCACTTTTGCCTTTGTGTAATTTACAGATGAATGTTTTCTAAGTAAAACTTACAATGACTTATTTTAAATGCAAAATGCATGCAGTGCCTTTTTAGTGGATTTTATGTCTTAACGCATAAACGCCTAATCATTTTAAGCTGCCTTAAATCTTTAAAGTCTACTATTTATACATGACCTTTTAGGGATTGAGAACAATAATTCCTGTGCATTAAGAAACCTGCTTATTAGGCAGCAAAGTAGAGATCTATATAGCCAAGCCTAGAGGATTCTAAAACTGCCTTTTGTCAGTAGATGGAGAGTGCCGTTTATATTTTGTGTTGCTGTACATACATTTCTAAAGTCTTTTTGCTTCTGTTACAGGAATCAGTGTCTGGTAGTTATTATGGTATTGGCATTTTGTGCCTGAATAAATAGGCACTGGTAACAAAAATTGAATTTGACTTGTGTTACTTATAAGATAGTATATAGAATATCACTGTTACAGTATTTTGGATGCTTAAAAGTTCATTTGTGCCACTATTTTGATTTTTTTCTCTAGTTTGAAAAGATTGGATGGGGGATTTTTACAAATTTATTTTTAAATTTATGTACAATAAAATTCACTGTTGTTGGCTTCATTAATTTTGACCAGTGCATTGAGTCCTGTGACCGCTGTTAAATGAGGATACAGAACTGCTCTGTCACCCTCCCCAAATTCCCTCCTGCTGCCCCTTTGTAGTGACCCATCCCCACCGCTCTCCCCTTAACACCAGCAATCTGTCTCCCTC